GCCATTCAACAGCACTGTAACATATGGTCAGCTCAATATGCTGCATCTTAAATCGGTTGGTGAGTTGTTGGTTGTCCCATATGGTGGAAGCAATATATTTTTAAGGACTTTTTTTTTTTAAAAAAAAAGACACCATCACAAATTCCGTTTTTTTTAAAAAAATGATTCAATATGCTCATAATAAGGTGAACCCTTAAAACTTGTTGTGTATGTTTAAGGCATATTATATGCAAATTCTGTAAACAGATTTTTCTCTAAGAGCTGATTGAAAGGTTGCAGTTTTCAATGGAAACATGTAGTTTTAATCATTCTATGTGTTATTAATACAGAACGTAATATATTTTACTTGCCAGTGCTTTATCCAAAGTCACCTGTGCTTTCTCTACTAGAAGAATTTGTATCGTGAAGGAGTTCCAGAGACAAGAGCTAACAAGGAACACATACTTACCATGGAAGAGTCTCATTTTACCATCTAGATCAGTCTTTCTCCAATTCTGCAATTTTAAGATGTATGGATTTCAACTCCCCAGGCTGGATGGGAAGTTCTGGGAGTTGAAGTCCATGCGTCTTAGACTTGCTGAGGTTGACAAAAGACTGATCTAGAAGTTTAAGCACTGCTGCAAAAAAATTGACTTAATTTTCTACCATATACAGCTCCCTTTCACTTGTATGACATTTTTATGATTGCTTATTGTTGGGTTTCAGCATTTATGTTAGTATTTTATTATGGTCTTTCAATTTATTTCAGTTTTTCTTTTTAAATTCTTGTTTTAAATCATTCCATAAACTTTAAATATACAATTAGATTGTTGTGTTTTAAATAAGGTACAACTACAGTTTCAGAATAAGGGAAGAGATTTCTTTTAAATGTGAAATCTGTTAAATCTGGATCCTTTAAATTAATGGTTTCCTGGAAATGCACAGAGGACTCTATTGCTGACTAACGTTTCCTTGTCTGAAGTGCTGAACCCAATCTATACAGTCAGGTCTCATGATTAACCTCGCTAGGTTAATGTGAAGTCAGCTAGGATGATGGAGACCTTACACTGCTGAAAACATTCCTGGGATATAACAATAGTCAAATCTCTCGAGTGAATGAGTGATCTTCCACTCTCTGGGCAAGCCTCCAATTACACATTTGCTTACAAAGTGAAATTGTGCATGAGACACAAATGCTGTTTTTTAAAAATGGATAACCCTACATGTCACTATTCAAAAGGTTGAAATTATAATGAGCAGTTGGCAAAGCATAAATGAGACTGTATCTTCATGAATGTTACTCACGGTTCTACTAGAAATGTAGCTATTTAGAAATTTGATGAAAGGGGAAACCTTAAGAAGCATATTTTTTGAGATAAAGCCAAGAGCACTAAGTGCTACCTGTATAATATTTCACTGAGGGGTTCCTTTTAGTATAAATGCATGAAAGAAAAGTAGACCAGTAAAGGTTTAGTAACTGTAATACAGATGCATTTTTATTAGCTTTAAAACCTGACATGCTATAGGAAAGCTTTATCAGCTGCATTAGTAAACCTGACAGATTTGCGAATAGAATTCACTATCCTTAGAAGCACGGTTGCCAGAATTTAATGTCAACAATTAAAATTTATTTTGATCCTCACCTAGTGTTTATTACTGTTTGTATACACAACAGACCTTACTAATACAGTGATGCACTATTAGATGGAATTACCATCTGTTCACAGTGAAATGTTGGCATCTGTCTTAGTTTCTAAAGCTAAAATGATATTGGTTCAAACAAAACAAAGTTAACTGCTCTTTACTTATCAACAATTATATTTTTCTTTCATGCATGCAGATATAATGTGCTCATGCAGAGACTTGCAGACAAACATATTCATGGAAGGCTTTATCTTTTTTTTAATAGTAAGCTATAAAATGATATCTATACTTGATGTATTGTTAATATAGAACTGTATGGATTGTCTGTTCTTTTGATTTCTTTAGCATTCTCTTGTAATTCCAGACAGTGTAATAAATGTTTAACATTTGAATGCTTTAGTTGGTGAGTTATATATTTTACTGCAGAAATTTTAAAAGCCTGATATACTTAAAATATTCAAAACACAATTCAGTCTGTTAAAACAAAGAATGCTTTTTAGATATATTTTAAAAGACCAGAATAAATTTATAATAAATAAATAAAATGATAATTCCAACAGGTATCAGTCATAACTTTAGGAAACATATATTGTGGCTGCTAGCTTCTATTGTATATTGCATAAACTGTGATATGGAGATGCAAGCTATTTATTATCTAAATGCCCCTTCTTCACACACATATGTGATTTGTTGATGTGTAAATTTCAGAAGAATTCTTCATGTTCTTCACATACATTGTGAATCATTAAAAACATGGTATTTACAATTCTAATTTTCAATCAAAGGTGTTGCTTTCAGAAATATTAATTTTCTATTTCATATATTATGAAATACTACTATTTAATATAGCAATGCTACTATTTAATATATGTACCACAGTGCATTAACTGTAACTAGTACATTTATTTGTGCTGGAGTAGACTTGAAAATGATTAAAAAATCAATATTTTCCTGTCAAGGAAGTAAATGTTACAATGCATTTAAATAATTAAGTGCACAAGTGCCATAAAAGCTTCAAATTTGGATAGGGAAGATACTATAATTACAGTATAAGCCTCTCCAATTTATTATGAGAATATATTTAAGGAAGATTTGCCGTTTGTTCTAAAGATGGCTATGTGTATTCATTTTAGGCAATAATGAATTTTACAGCTTCTGTTTTTAGTAGTTAAAAGCTGAATTGGAATATTAAATCCTGGCAGTTGCATTCAAAATGCTGACATAGCTGAATAACTCTAAAGGTGAAATTCCAATTGTAAAGCCCATGTTTTCTTTTGAAACCTGTGCATTAATGCTGCATTTCATTAGTGCTCAGTGCTACTTATGTGGGAAGGCTTATAACCTCACATGCCAGAACTTCAAATTTCAACACAGTAAATTTTGACCAAAGCAGTATGATACTAATTAGATTATGAAGTCATAAATGATATCTGAACAAGAATTTCTAATGCATAGCTTGGCTAGTAATTTTTTCGACTTCCATCTTTTCCTTTATCGTAAAGTAACCTTTCCTCACACTGTAGAAAAAGCAATAGCGGTATATTAGATGTTCATATAAAAATGCAAAAAAAAAAAAGTTTATGGTTTTATATATCAAACACTTTAAAGATGTATTATTAATTTATTATGAACAAAGATCTTGTTGTTAACTCTTAGCACAAAGCCCTGAATGAATTTACAGGATGCATATTTTACTTCATATTCTCTAAATGAATTATGTGCTGTATGATAACAGAAGCACCTGACTTTGATATATGTGGCATAGTTTAAGATTCCTCATGCAGAAAACACGACTGCAGAGTAAATTTACAAAGTAATACTTGCTTGCAATTCACAATGGAACAAAGTATTTCATAGCTGCAAGGAGCATAATACTTCCAATAGGTAAAGTGCTATTGTATGTTGCAATTAACCACCTAATTGTCAGCATAATGTGCCACACCCAGATGCAGAAAGCTTCAATCAGTTTGTAAGTCTTGAAAGATGTTTGTATAGAGAATGTGACTTAACAGCATGTAACCTGTAAAAAAAAAATTGTTCGTCAAAATAGAAAAATACTTATCTTGTTCTCTTATCAAGCTCATACTACATACGCTATCCAGATAATTAACAGACAAAGCACATTAATAAATGATTCCAAACATGGCACACTTTTTCTTAATAACATGCATATATGCATGTACATGCAAAAATATTATGTGGTATGCAGGCTATGGTCTTCCTCAGTCCTGTTGCAGTACCATAACAGTACCTTATCCATCGGATCTGAGGTTAGATTTTCAATTTCCCATATTAGTGTTTATTCATCATCATGACTGCAGATAATGTAATTTGCCTTTTATGGAGAGAAAGGTCTGTGCAAGTCTTATAGAACTTTTCATTTTAGCCAAGTTATATGTGCATGCCTATTTAAAACAGTGGTGGGTTTCAAAATTTTTTACTACTGGTTCTGTGGGCATGGCTTGGTGGGCATGGCATGGCTTGGTGGGCATGGCTTGGGCGTGGCAGGGGAAGGATACTGTAAAATCTCCATTCTCTCCCCAATCCAGGGGAAGGTTACTGCAAAATTCCCATTTCCTCCCAATCAGCTGGGACGCAGAGAATAGATGGGGGAGGGCCAGTCAGAATTTTTACTACTGGTTGTCCGGACTACTCAAAATTTCCACTACCGGTTCTCCAGAACTGGTCAGAACCTGCTGAAACCCACCTCTGATTTGAAAGATTAGCAAATGCTAGGTATTCATAGTATTTTGCATAAATAAAGGCTTCTTATGGTGAAGTTTCTATCTTCAGAATTCATGTATACTAGCTCAATTACTTTTTATTACTATTATTCAGTTTAAGATAGCACTATTGTGTTCTAACAAAGGAATAAACAAAATCAATGTCAAGTCAATAAACATGTCATATTTGTGAATCTTTTCTGCCGATATCATTATATATTCTGGTTCAAAGGAATTATTTGAATTTGTACCATAATGTTTGCATTGTTTTTATGATATTAATGTGCAAATACTTTGCAAACAGTAAAAGAAAAACCTAGGAGTGCTGTTCAGTCAAACAAGGAATTGGCAGATCGTATTTTTCCATTTCTAACAATTTAAATATTATTATGTACAGTGGTATGAATATATAAAAATCTAAGGGAGTTTGCAAGCTATATTGTGAATAGTTCCTTCGGTGACACTTTTTAGTAAATATAAAATATAAGAAATAAAGCATTAAACTTTTTTGTTCTCTCTCTCTCTTTTTTTTCCTCTCTCTCCTTCCTTCCTTCCTTCCTTCCTTCCTTCCTTCCTTCCTTCCTTTCTTTCTTTCTTTCTTTCTTTCTGTCTGTCTGTCTGTCTGTCTGTCTTTCTTTCTTTCTTTCCAAATAGCTCCAGTTCTGCTAATAGCACCCGACACTGAAGGAATAAACAGCACTGTAATAAAGATAACTTGGTATGAGCCTGAAGAACTTAATGGACCTCCTCCAGTTTATCAGCTGGAAAGAATAGATATATCTTTAGCAACATCAGATGTAAATGTAAAAAAAGGAATTCGTTTTCCGGGAAATGGGTATTACAAGTTTCCAAATTCTACGTTGCCTACAAACACCTATTTTACTGGTAAGGAAATTTCATTCATTCATTCATTCATTCATTCATTCATTCATTCATTCAATCAATCAATTTTTATAGCCACCCATCTCAGTCAATGATTCTGGGCAGGATACAATTCAAGACTATATTACAATAAAAATATTAAAATATTTTAAAACAATAAAAACTATAGGAACATCCAAAATAAATATATATAGCAGCCCAGATACTTGGCCAGTTATCAATACAGCCAGGAAATGGGTCTATTGACACATTCTGTGACACAAACTCAGGAACATAGCCAGGTTTTTAGGGCTTACAAAAGGCTAACAGGATTGGGACCATTCTACTCTCCAAACAGGATGTTCCACAGTTCCCTGCCACTGTGGAAAAAGCCCATTTTCTAGACCCTGCCAGCCAACACTCTTTGACTGAAGAGATCTACAGCATGCCCATTCTACATCTGGTTGGGCAGGTGGATACTCTTGGAAAAAGAGGATCCCTCAGGTACCCTGTCCCCCAGCCATTGTCTACACTATGTTTATTTCGAAACACTTTAGAGTACATTCTGATGGACATTTTCTTTGGATGGATTTCCTCTGGATTTGCTATTTTACTTTTCAGTTTCCCCACATAAATCAATATTGTTCTTTAGAAGGCCACTCTTCAGATTTTTTTTTTCTGTATCTTAATTTGTAGTGTGAGAAAATATGGCATTATTTGTTCACCAAAAAAAGCAAGTATTCTTCATCAGGTGACATTTAATTGCATGTGATAGTTTTGTACGTTTACACTCCAGCTCAATTGATAAGGGATTTGGGGAATTTTTGCACAGCAGTGTTTAGGGATACTTGTTTCTACTGCTGTCCCAGTAGGCAACTCTTAAGTCAATATTTCATTCTTTTGCCAGGATACTGGAAGTCTATTTAGCCTGGCACAAATTTCTCTTTTTTATATATGTTGATAATATTTCATGGATCACAGGAATTATATAATGCCTATCTTTTAATTGGATTGGAGGAGGGTTGCATGCTGATTTAGACAGCTTTGAAATGTATACTTTGCATACTTAAAGGATCTTACCACATGCTGATGTTTCAGTATCATTCCTTAAGGAGTTCACTATTAGATTATATGAAATATTACATGAAGATTCTATTAAACTCTTTTCCCATTTTGTCAGAAAAAGTATGTCTCAACTGGGCTAAGTATGGAAACTCCTTTAAGTGGCCATCCTATCCTCTCTTATCTGACATGAAGTCCCACAGAACAAAACATGAATCAACATGCAAATGATTGAACATTTCATTTCTGGAAAGTCTTTCAGAAGTCATCTTTCTAAAAGCAAAAGTATATTTCATGATTCTCTGCACATCACATTTGCTAACGAGTAAATATGTCCTCATCTCAGTCATGCCTCCCAAACCAACCTACGTCCTCTTGTTATTAAACCTGGTAAAGTGAAATTTTATAGTTACTTTGGTCTGCAGTATTTTTTTATGAGGAGCTTGAAATTGCCTCTTTGAGTCACAGCTTTTCTACTTATTTATAAGAACATCATACTCTTTCAGTTGCCATTATTATGAATTTAGTCACCATATTGTGATTTCCCCCCCACCCTCATATTATGCCATGCCTAATAACCACAGTACAATTGATTAGTATTTTGAGTAAAATTTCTGTCATCCTTAGGTTCCTCCATTTACTTACTTATTTATTTATTTATTTTTATTTATTTTGTCAAGCATGTACAGGATAACAGATATAAGTATAAACATGAACATAGGAAATGAGTACAAATAAATGATGACAGTAGGACAGGGATGGTAGGCATGCCGGTGCGCTTATGTACGCCCCCTTTACGGATCTCTTAGGAATGGGGTGAGGTCCACAGTAGACAATTTAAGGTTGAAGCTGTGGGGGTTTGAGGATGTAACAATGGAGTTAGGTACAGCATTTCAGGCATTGACCACTCTGTTGCTGAAGTCGTATTTTCTGCAATCAAGTTTGGAGTGGTTTACCTTGAATTTGTATTTATTGTTTGCCCAAGTATTATTGAGGTTGAAGCTGAAGTATTCGTTGACAAGTAGGACATTGTAGCAGACAATTTTGTGTACTATGCTTAGGCGGCATAGTTTCAGGTTGTCTAGGCTCAAAATTTCGAGCCTGGTGGCATAAGGTATTCTATTGTGAGCAGAGGAGTTCTCACTTCCTTATTATAGGATGAAATAGTGACTCAAATGCTCCTATAATTAGAGAAGTCTATAATACCCGCCTGTTTTGCTTTGAGTGCAAAACATTATATATCTTATTTCCAGCAATTTCAATTAAAGAATGTTGTCTTTTTATTTATAAGAACTTTATTTGAACCATGGACAGAAACCCTGGATAAAGGTATCCAACAGAATGCACACATCACAGGGATAAGAGAATAAATAATACATGGCAGACCTTAGGAATACATTTATAAAAATTAATAGGAATAGAAATGATTTTTTTATGAAGAAAATGTTGTATTTGGCCTGCAAAGGGTCTTATGGTGATTAGGAGCTCAGAAAATAAATAAGTAAACGCTTAGACTTATTTCCAGTTCAATAGAAGGTTGCTTAATATATTGTCCCCTTTAGTAGGCAGGCATATGGGTTGTTGTATGATCATTGCAGACCAAGCTCCCATTGTTACAGAGTATTCTGAGCCATACTTGGTTTTCCTTTCATTTATCCCTGTTGACAGTGATATGTCCCACTATGAACTATTAACTGGCCTCAGTAAAGGAAGAATTTAGTTGTCCTTTCATTTTTTTTTCTCTTAGAACTTCTTTTGCTAGCATTGTGGTCTTGCACTTAAATGATTTCACAGTTCTCATTCTTGAACAAGACATTTTCTTTCTTCCTTCTTCCTAATCCCAAGAAGCCTAAAGAAAGGGTGAGACACTTTAAAAAAAAAGTGATCCAGCACAACAAAGTGATTTCGGCTGCTTTGTGAACAAAACATCTTAAAACATTTTCTAATGTGCACCAACAGGGATTTATACTACCAATGCACTGCACTAACCCTGACAGGCAGTGTTTGTGTAATAGTTTTTGTAAAATATAGGCAGTTTTAATCTGCATCAAACTTTGGTATTTAATTCTCTTTTCTTTTCATGGAAAAGTACAGATTTATTTAGGTCTTTGCGGAAGATCCCTAAATCTGTATGAATTACTTACATTTTTCAAATGTATCTTTAGGTACTTCTGTTATCATGGATGTCCCACTTGTCTGGGATGGTATAGGGTCTCCTGCTTTGAGGTGTTGGACTAGAAGACCTCCAAGGTCCCCTCCAACTCTGTTATTCTGTTCTGTATCTCTTTAATACTGTACATTTTAAAAAACATTTCAGTATCATATAATTTAATATATACACCTTCTGCTACCAATAGCCTCCCACCAGCCAATTCGCTCCCACAGAGAGGGGCTCCTCCGGGTGCCGCCGGCCAAGCAATGTCGGCTGGTGACTCCAGGGGGAGAGCCTTCTCTGTGGGGGCTCCTGCCCTCTGGAATGAATTGCCCCCCGAGATGCAGAGGATTCCCAACTTACGCACTTTCTGCTGGGACCTCAAGACGCTTTTATTCCAACAAGCCGGGCTGGCCTAATTTTTAAATTTTTTAATCATTAACTCTTAATTTTTAAATGTCTAAAATGGGTAGTTTTATTTTAATTAGATATGGGCCAAATTATTTAATATTTCTTAAATTGTTTTTTAAATTTTATATCTATGTGTTTTATTCTGGCTGTACACTGCCCTGAGTCCTTCTGGGAGAAGGGCGGTATATAAATTAAATTAATAAAAAGTAAATAAAAATATAGATAGTCCTTTATGACTATGTTAATTGGAACTGGAAGTTCCATCACTAAGCAATGAGGTAATAAACTGTGACCTTAAGTGACCACATTGACTTAGAGTTACAACAGTTCCAGTGCCAGTTGATAGGAACAATGTCACATGATCTGTTCTTGTCTTATTTTTTTAGGAAGAGAAACTCATTCTTTCTCCATCTTTCCTTTATGGAAATTTAAAGAGGGTGATATCAGCTTGAATTAAGCAATCATAGTAAACCATAATAAAACACTAGTAAATGAAAAAAAATAGAATTGAAGCAGCATGGTAAATATTTTATATTCTGTGTAGTTAAACTCAGCTCACTTAGAAAAGAGGGTATAAAATTCCTACCGTTTGTAAGGTATAATCTACACTTCCCTATAAACAGATTGAATAGAATTGAGTAGAATTTCATTAGAAAATATTTCACTATAGTGCCCATTTTTTAAACCGATTACAAGATTTCTCTTATTCTTTTTTATTGACTTTTTTATTCTTGCCTTGTGGCTTTTTAAGACAGCGTGATGGTACTAACAAGTAGTTTATTGAACAAACAAGTATGAAAGACATTCATTGATTCTAATTGTCTGTCATGAATATCATGAGGAAGCATTTCTATGAATATTATCAGGGAATGTTTCATCCCACAATTGATCTTTTAGAAAGTTCAAATTAATATCTTGTCTAACGATGATGAGCCTTATCAATTGAGTGATTGCCAACGTTAAAAAAGGAGGGAGAAGAGGATTAAAATGTGTTGTCCCTATTAGATTTAAGTACTTACGGCCCCAAATCAATCAGATCATAAACTGAGTAATGTTATTTCTGCCAAAACAATCAGTCAGGATTTATAATATATAGTTTTATCTGCTGAAAAATAATAGTATCATAGAAATTTATAAAATCTAGCACTAATGTGTTGTATACTGTCTGTCTGTAAGTATGTAATCTATTCCTCTCTGTCTCTCAAATATACTTTCCCTCACAATCTTTTACTCTCGGATATGATAAATAAGCTTATAAGAAAAACATTAATAAAAATGTAGATCCCATCAAAACTAGAATCTAGATTTTTAAAAAATATTTTTCTGATTTGATCTTATTTACCTAGAAATATATACTGTCTTTAATATGAATCACACTGATCATAGTGTATATCTAATA